TTTTTATTTTTATTCTGAAATTGATAAAATATGCTTAAACAATTAATTTTTTATTTTTTATTTTTTTTATTTTTTAACTTTGTATGGAGATGAAACTTTAAACTATGATTAGTGGGGATGGTGGTGCACAAAGGGGGGTGTATGTCGTGATGCAAATGAAGGGAGGTGGAGCACGAAGGATTGTAAAATTGGAAACAAACAAAATGAAACAGAGGAGAAATTTGTGCGCATGGGAAGAGTGGAGAGGGGAAAGAAGCTATACAAAATAGGGTGCAGTTGGTAGGAAAGGGGGATGCAAGATTGGGTCAATGGTGGGGGTCAAGTCGCCAGTAGAATGGGGATTAGAGTCTCTTTTGAAAGGAAAGCTTGGTGGTGTGAAGGTTAATTGTTATTCTTAAAGCCCATTGATTACTTTAGATTTAGGCAATGGAGTTGCTGCACTAAATAGTCATAAGCAATTTATAGGAGGCTATAAGTTTTTAGATTAAGCCTCTGTTTGGTACACATTAAAATTTTCATTCTCATTCTCCTACTCATTTTCAACCACACATCTTTCAATAAAATAATTGTTTTTATCACATCAATAACTTTTCCTTCATTTTCAACCACACATTTTCCATCAATCTACTATTCCAAAATACATTTTTCCAAAATAATGTGGATCAAACACACCCTAAATAACATAAATCAGGCTCGTACACTCAAATATTTAGTTTCTCCTTTTATCTTGTACCCTTTTCATTATGTTTTAAAGTATTTACACAGTTTTATGTTATTGTATTGCAGCATAGCTAATTTACTTGGATTGTGAAAAATTACTTCTAGTATGGTAAAGAATAAATACACGCATGGTCCTTTTGTTGTTAAATAATTTATAAACAAAATACCTTTTCGTAGCATACTTTGGAATAGATGTTAATTTACTTGTAGGAATGCTTCCGCTTTCCTACAAAAAATGGCAAATGGTGAACTTTTTCTTTAAATTCATTCTTGTTTATAATCAATGTTAGCTTACATTTTTCATGAAATGATGTCATTGAAGTCATTACCCTTAATATATGAAGAGTGCATTTGTCTTCCCCTATAAAGCATGGAGATGGGAAAGTGCCATTCACGTCTTTTGTACTCTATGACACTGCACGTAAAATGCAAACTTCCTTGTAAAGAATCAATAGAAAATACGCATTCTCTCAAATATTTAATTAGTAGGTTATCATGACTAGCAACATGTTCTAGTTTCAATCAATATTATGTAAATCGCTCTACTCTATTATACATTATTCCCATGCTGCGTGTAATGTGTATTAGTCTTAGTCGATACTTTTAGGTTACATTTGGTACACTGGATTAAACCGTACAAGAAATTATGATTAAAACTAGAGATGGTACTAGATAGATAGTGTTAGGGTGGATTAAGGTTGATAATATTTATTTCTTTCAAAATGATGTTATGTTCACTATCTTTTCTATATGGCTCGAACCTACCTCCTCACTCTGTATTTTATTATCTAGTTAGCTTAAGAAAGATAGTGCAATTAACATTCTTCTAAATGAAAAAATGAAAATACTATCCACCCTAATACTATCTATATATTAGTGCCTACTCTAATTTTACACTTGGTGCCTTTTACGGTTTAATTCGATGTACGCATAGTGTTTTGTATGCTGACTGCAAGAATTGGTTAACCCATACTATCACTTGCACTTGAGAGCTGTACTGAATCGACTACTTCTAGTTTACTTTTTGTTGGTAACATCATCACAGAACAACCTATCATGAGTTCACTGATTAAATACTCTGTATTTCTGTTTTAACTTCATGTTTTAAACCATGCTTTGTAGGCAATAATGATGGTTCTGCTGATCAGTAGTGGTTCGTTTATATACTACAGACGAAAGCGAAGCAGTTCAATTCAAGGAGCTGTCAGAATTCCTACCAGTTTTAGGTTTTAAGCCCAACATTATCTTCAATTTGGGAACATATTGTTATCTTGGTTATATTGTAATACCTAGTTTTGCTTCTTTTTTGTGATTGATTGGGTTGTAATACTAAATTGTAGGAAAGTCAAGAACTAAGCTTCCGTTTCGCAAATTTATAAATCAGAGCAATATTGGTGGATATCACGAAATGTGTGAATAATAATAAGTAATAGTTATGAATGTGTGGTTGAAATCAATTTTTGACTGAATAGTTTATAAATTGTATCCGAACGGAGGCTAAATTTACGTTGGCCAAGTAATTTCCTTCTTTGTAATTATTCTAATTTGAACTGTCAATTGGCCAATTAATAATGCTTTCTTTTTTTCTTTTTCCTTTGTTTTCCCTAGAGGGCCTAGACCATTACATATGATTGAATAAAGTAAAATTCTTTTATATTTCGTTTTATTTTAACTCGATATATGTTTGAACAAGAGTTTAACTTTTGATATTAGTTGTGTCCAATTCAATTCAATATCAATATACCTTCAAAGTTTACTTATCCACGATTTCATATGATAGCAACGATTTTCATTGTGAGTTTGTCTTTGATGTTTACTCATTCACGATCTCTAATCAAACTTTTTAAGGGAAATCTGTATGTAGCTGTTGTATGAGCATATTACACGTAGAACTTTACCTTAGATTATTACTTGTTGACTTAACTAAAAAATTTTACGTTGCTCACTCATTTATTCAAATGTTTATCCATCAATCACTCATTTGAAATCCATTACCCACGATTAACGGACAGACGGAAAGTTGATGTGGCACACCCGGTAAATCAATGATGCAGTTACAATAGGGGAAACAATGACTATGGGCATGCACAAGTACACAAACAAGAACTAGAAAACCATAAGAAAATACAATCACCCCAAAGCTAGTGATTCATAACGAATCAAAACATTAGAATACAAGGTAAACATTACTTTGTATACATGTGTTTTGATACTTCTAACAATACTCTCCACATGGGGTCTCATATTTTCGAAAATCAACCTATTCCTTGCCATCCAAATGCAGTAGACGGTACTAGCCAAAGCAATCCGTTTGGCTTTGTTAGGCCATGAAGTTCCTTTGGCCTCTTTTTTCATCCACTTAAGTGCACTTGCTAATGTTGTCATAGCTCTTGTGATGCCAAGCCAAGTCTTTATGTTATCCCAAATACTAGAAGTAAAGGAGCATTCAAAAAAAAGGTGGAGACACGTCTCTGCCTGTGAGGTGCAAAAGCAGCAATTCCGATCAATTTCAATGTAGTGTAGCATGTCTTTGGTGAGCAATCTGGATTGGACTCCCAGCCAAAGTGTGAAGGAATGTTTTGGAGTTATGAAATGCTTCCAAACCTCCTTCGCCCGACATCTAAGATTGCCTTTGGGTCTAAAGAAATCATTAGCTTTAGAAACACAGAACCCGTCACCATTACTGGCCAGAATCTGGTCAAAAAACTGAGTCGCTGCCTGAAGAGTGGGCAAAACTGTTTGAAAAAATCTCTAATTTCAAGCAGTTTTTTGAATAAAGGCGAGTGATCTTTTAGTGGCGAAATCTCCCAAATACTAGCTCCCCGAAGGTAAATTTGGTCCACCCACCGAACCCATAATGTGTCCTTTTTATTATGAATGTTTCACGGAACCTTGGTAAGCAGAGCAGAATTCCAGCTTCTCAGATTTCTAAAACCCAATCCTCCCTCATTTTTTGGTAAGCATACATCCATCCAAGAAATCAAAGGTTTCTTGGAACCCCAAAGAAAGATCCGACATAGACTTTAGATTCTAGAAATGATAGTAGCTGGAATAGACTTTGAATCTACTCTTTGTTCTAACTGGAGATTGCACTATTAAAGAATAGTAAGAAAGGAAGATAGTGGGGCACTGTACCTATGGATCTGAGGTTCTAGAGATGTCAACTTTGAAGCCTGAACTTGTGAATGACTTGGGTGTCGGTTACGTTTATCTTCACACAATTGGGGGTTTTGATTTGGGCAATTTTTGGTTTTTAATTTGGGGGTTTTTTATTTAATTTTTAATACGAGTAGACAAATTAACGGTGTAAATATGCCACATCAACTTTCAGTTTTTTGAGTTTTCCATCAATTATGGGTAACGAATCTGAAAAGAGTGATGAATAGGTAAACATTTGAATAAATGAGTAAGTAGTGTGCAGTAAGTTGGGTAAATTTAGTTAGCATTTCATTAACTCGCTATTTTTAACAAGCAAAGAATAGACATTGCGGCAATTTAAGAAAGAATAATGCAATAAGAAGATTATTTTTCATCCTAATCATCAGAACAACTCCTTGAATGCTACTAGTATACAAAAATCATGTGCAAATTCGGTTACATGTCTACTAGCATCCCCTCTACCATGCCTTCACCAAGTTGGTGTTTCACCATCCAGCCTGGTATTTTGTCTTCTCGGGTTCCACTAGGTCGCCGCATAGATGGACATGAAAATATTTGATGTGCACTCTCAGCCTTGTAGCTTCTCATTTCAATTTCAAGACCGTTGCAACCATTATCAAGAAACCCAGAATTCTTCATCTTCGATATTCTTTTCCAGATTTGGCATTAATTTCTAGGTTAACGAAAAAAAGAAAAGGATGAAAAGGGACTTCAGTTTGAAACCTCACGCGGCACTAATCAATCTATTGCTATGAATATTGCAGAACTTATGTTTTAAAATTGTATATTGAAGGCAATATACAATTATAAGCTGCATTTTCTAATGCAGGTTTGCTAACATAATTGAAGAAAAGGAGCTTTACCTATACCATCACGATCTTGTTGACCTTGGATAATCACATTCCCATTAGAGATTATAAGAAAAACTAATAAAGAAAGAAGAACAATGGAAGAACACAGAATTCAGGATAGCAGAATTGAAAGAGAAGATGTGTATCTGATTTTTATTTCTAAACAAAAAGTATATACAAGAAGTAAAAGTATCTTGCAACAAATTCTGTA